CTGTCCCGTTCATTACGGGACGTCTGGTCACATTAGTAATATCTGACTTCAATGTTATTTTATAATCTACTACTTGTGACAGGCCAATGGAGACAGACCGTTTCCCTACGTGGCGTGTTCACCACGCCATCACTTCAAAAAAACCCACTACACCAAAGTTATTAATTTAATTTTAATTACTGGTACGCATTTTTTCGTTCTTCAACTGTTTTAATTCGGCAATTAAATATATCCAACGGGCAGAACCGGCGGAATTGTAAACTGAAATATTTTAATATTATAAACACGAAAGTTTGTGAGTATGGATGGCTGCGGATGGATGTTTTATACTCTTTCACGCAAAAACTACGAAACGTTTTTGATGAAACTTTACAGTAATATAGCTCATGTATTAGACTAACACATAGGTTATAATTTAAAATGATATTACGTGAATTGGGCGGAGTATAATGATAACTGTCAAGTGAGTCAAAATTAAAATTTGATATATATATATATATATAATAAATATATTTATTTATACACATATTTATTTATTTATTTATTTATTTATTCACTATTGAATAATATATATATATATCATATAGAATATCTGAACTTCTTGCAAAGGATAATCATTGTAACTTCATAGAGTTAGTTGGTCGCTCAAATAAATTAAATAAAGATAAAGTGTGATGCAGGCGAAGTAGCGCGGGTCAGCTAGTTGAGTTTTATTGTAGTGTGTGGTGCGCGGTCGGCTGCGCCCGCGCAGCTAGCCGGCGCTACTTTCCCCGCGCTAGCTTCTCATTTAAATACATCTCCTTATCTTCATCTATTCAGTTGCGGCGCTCACATTTTTATTACAACAATATTTTCTTGCCAGTTATTGCCTCTGGACATTTTATGATTACTAGAAAAATATGCGCGAACATTTAAGTATAAAGTACATGTTTTAACATGCTATGCTTCAAGTACTTATTTACACCATAAATATATTTAAGATAGAGTTTGTAGCCCTATAATATATATATTGTATAAATATTTATATATTTAAATAAGCTTTAGATTAATATTATATGAGAGTTGATGCACGGAAAACGCACTTCAGCGCATAATCCTTACTGTACCTACTAATATATAGAACTAGCTTTTGCCCGCGGCTTCGCTCGCGTAGTAGTAAGTATTATTATTAATTAGGTGTAGTTTGTGCGGCTCTACTTTTGTTTCGCGTGTGTAAAAAATTAGGGCCTACAAAATATAAGATTTATAGAAACTTTCATCCCCTCAGGGGTGGAATTTATCAAAATTCTTTCTTAGGGGATGCCTACGTCATAGTAGCTTTATGCATGCAAGTCTCAGCCCGGTCGGTTTAAAATGGGCAAAGTTTCATACATATTTTCATCCCCTTAGGGGTAGAATTAATTAAAATCCCTTTCTTAGCGGATGCCTACGTCATAACTTCTACCTGCATGTCAAATTTCAGCCCGATCCGTCCAGTGGTTTGGGCTGTGCGTTGATAGATCACTATGTCAGTCAGTCATCTTTGAGTTATATATATTTAGATAATAGAGGGGGTTAACTCCCTGCCTCCTCTGAGTTACAGACCGTTTTATCTCGATAAATAATTTTATTATAAGCATAAATTGCGATATATTTTATTAATGTTATATATATACATACAAAATTAAATTGTATTCAGTTCTTCTTGGCTCGAAAGTACTCCGAAGTGACAGTAGATTTGATATATCAAAAGAGTCTGTAATAGACCTACATGAATAGAGATATTTTTTTTATAATAATAATATAATAATCTCACGACAATTCACACAGCGCCATCTAGACCCAAGTTAAGCTAGCTGAAGCTTGTGTTATGGGTACTAGATAACTTACAAATACATAGATTATTTTTCGTAAATACAGACTTATTATACATAGAAAACAGCCAGACCGATACAAACATTCATACTCATGAATACAAATGTTTGTGCCGTGCGATGAATCAAACCCGCGACCATCGGATAGTAAAGCGGTGTGTACCGCTATACCACTGAGGTCTCCAATTTTATATGTGTATTTAGTGTATACATATCTACGCTTTTGTGCTGTATTAAGAAAAGATTAAATACGGTTTTAATGACGTTTAACTGAACTAAAAAATATTAAATTGATAAAATTTTAACTGATCTCATTAATGTGGATGCAGCCGATAAACGCAAAATGGTATTATTCTTTAAATCGTTCAACTTCTATCACTCTATGGGAAGCATCATTATGTTCAATTGACAATGACTGTCTGAAACGATGATGGTGATTACAACAAATTATGGTGGTGAATATGAATGAATACATTTCATAAGAGCTCATTTATGTTTGCAAAATGAACTCATTACATACTCGTACATCAGAAACGCACAGATAGTTGATAAAAATCGCTATTTAAGGCTGGAAGAAATCGCTATTTAGCGATAAGGCCGCCCATTGTTACCTCTGTATTGTAATTGCTGTTTTTTTTATATTTTGTGTGCATATTAATTTTCTGTGAGAGGAACAGTAAAGAGATTTTCATTCATTCATTCATTCAAAAATAACTGAATTCAATATTGCAACAACCGAATTTGTATAGACATTTAAGTTATTTATTTATCAATACCTATGTATTGATAAATAAATAACTTAAAGCGACAGCGAGTTTCTTTTATACTATTATAAAAGAAAGTCGCTGTCGCTGCCTGTCCGTCCCTATGTATGCTTAAATCGCGATAAAAACAAATCTGGTGGGGTTGAACCATAGGTACTAACTCGAGGGTTGAATGACCATCAACGCATTCTATTTTGAATTTGATTTACATAATAATCCTCTGTAAGTCGCGACTTTTAAAAAAAACAGTTCTGGTGGGGTTGAATGATAGGTACTAACTTGAGGGTCGGCTTAATAGAAGAAATATAAATAATCTTTATTCAAATAAACTCATTGCAAGCACTTTTGAATAGTCATATTTTGATTCTATCATTTCTGTAAGAAGTCGCGGTAAAAACAAATCTGGTGGAGTTGAACCAAAGGTACTAACTCGAGGGTTGAACGACCCTCATCACATTCCACAGCAATTGGCCGGTGCAAATTACGAGTGCCACAGATAATACGTTCCGATTTACGACTAATAACGCATGTAACTCGATATCCAGCATCGCGGACGGCGGACGGCAGACAGTGGACGGCGGGCGGCGCCGCTATAACACTAATTGCTGGTTCGATTCAGAAACTGTCCGTCTGCTTGTCTATTGATTGGTACAAATAATTACAGCTATCTAATCCATCTAGATAGGTGTAATTGGGAAGGAGGAAGAAATCCCAGTTAAAAACACATAAAATATTTTATAACATTTTGATTTGGGTAAATTTAAACTGTAAAACTTTCTTGCTACCTCTATATTCAGCGAAATAAAGTGATTGATTAATTGAATGACTCTTTCACGCAAAAACTACAGGATTGATACCAATTAAATTTGCTACATATATACATCATAATATACTTCATTATAACATAGTGTTTTTATTAGAATTCACATATATTATACACTAGCTGTACACGAGACTTCGTCCGCGTGGAATTTAACCTCATTTTTCTAAAATAAAAGTAGCCTAAGTTACTCCTTATTACATCAGCTACCTGCCAATAAAAGTCCCGTCAAAATCGATTTAACCATTTCAGAGATTAGCCGGAACAAACAGACAGACAGACTGACAAAAATTATAAAAGATGTTATTTTGGTGTATGTACCGTATTTATATTCATATGCATGTAGTAAAAAACTGTTATTACAATATTACAAACAGACTCTCCAATTTTATTTATATGTATGATAGTCAACATAGTCCTAGTCCGGGTAGCTAACATTATATGATCAACACAACTGTGCATTTGTATATCTGTTACACTTTCACGCCTTAAAAGGTTAAATTTATAATCATCAGGATATTTATAACTTTTTATACGGTAGGGACAGTTATAAAAAATATGTGTGAGTGCGTAGCGATTTCTATATTCATTATCGCATGCCTCTTACTTGTTAGACTGTAATTATTTATATAAAAAAAAACATCTATTAAAAAGAGCAACACACAAGTTTCTTGCTCATTCTTCTTGTGATGAATCTGCATTCCGAATGAGTGGTGGAATCAAAATATGACTATTCAAAAGTGCTTGTAATGAGTTTATTTGAATAAAGATTATTTCTATTTCTATTTCTATGACTTACATAAGTGGTCGAGATTGTCCAATATAATGATTTTGCAATCATGGTAGCGCGGATGAAGTCGCCATCAAAAGGTTGTAAAAATATATTTCAGCAGTAGTTTTTTTTATTTCTAACCCTTCGCCCTCTATTGGCTGATTAATAAAAAATGCCTCGTACTCTATCCTAGAGTTCAAAGTCGAATTTTGAACTTGCAATTGTGAAAACTTGATACGACCAATTAATACAAAAAGACATTAAGACAAAGACACTCCAATTTCATTTATATGTATAGATTATACATATAAATGAAATTGGAGTGTCTGTTTGTAATATTGCAATAACCGTCTTTTACTACATGCATATGAATATAAATACATTACATACATCAAAATAACTTTTTTTAGAATTTTTGTCTGTCCGTTTGTCCCGGTTAATCTCTGAAATGGCTGGACCGATTTTGACGGGACTTTTTTGGCAGGTAGTTGATGTAATAAGGAGTAACGTAGGCTACTTTTAATTTCGAAAAATAATGTTAAATTCCATGCTTGTATTTAATAAATCTGTTCTTTTATTTCATTTACACAGTAAGTCAATTTTAATATTTTGTTTGAGAAAAAAACTTATGAACGATGAACGTAAATTTAAGTTTAAGTATATTATTTTTTACCTATTGGCAATGAAACAGTTGTAATAATTATCACGCAATTTAGCTCAGCATTTATATAATTAATATCACCCGGTCACACGGAAAAAACCGCCACTAACTGGCAACAAATGAAACTCACCAAAACAAAAAGTCCAATCCCTTTTGCGTGTTTACAAATACACTATAATTCACATGATCACACTTTATAGCGCACTATCACTAAAAATCCACACTTAATAGTTCCCTAAGTAGATAGTAAACTTTTATAAAATTTATGAGAAGTTACTCGTACATCGAGGAGTTACAGAAAGGAACCGACATACGGGTGTATAACGGACAGTCGCGAGTACACTGCGGGCCGGCGGGTGCTCCGGCCGGCCTCCACCACTCCAAGCTTTGTTATGGACCTAGTCCTGGAGATAGACTACACAACAATAACGGTTATATTAAAACAATTTTTTTTTCGGACTACTCTAATGCTGTTAGCCGCTGCTGGCCTTTACAGCTTCTCCGGACGATAGGGAGCGAGTGCAGATGGCACTTCAAACCCGCGGAAGGACTTTTGGAGCGGCTGAAGGCTAACACCCGCCTGACGGATTTGACTTCAGTCTGAGGGCACCGCTAGGGGTTCGAACCTCGGCTCAGGCCGTCATAATATTGAACCCCGTTTGAATTGGACGGGGATCGATTGATGAGGAATATAGTTAAAAATATTTAGGAATTTATTTCATAAAATACACGTAAAATCCTCCAGAACGAAGAGATGAGAGAAATAGAGTATGAAAGTAACAACTTGGTAAGAAGATATAGGTTACCAATCAAAATAGGTGAAAGGGTAGTGAGATGTAAAAGGGTGGGATGGAAACATTCTTTTAAATGTATTTGAAAGTTTATTAATTTTTTTCTTTACTTATTTTATGAGCATCATTATTTGAGTTAGAAATTTAAATTATTATATACATATTTTCTTTGCATTTTACTTACATATTTTGAGCTCACATATCGGATCGGGATCGGGGGATGTGTCAAGAAATCTGTATAGAGATACAGAAGCTAGTCGAGTAAACATAGTGTGTGTGCCATGTACAGTATAGTGTGTTTTTTTATCTCAAATACAAATTTGATATTACCTGTGTTGCGAGCTTTTTTTGATTCTTAAATCAGAAATGAACAAATACTGATTTTTATAGGTTAGAAACGAAATTTGTGGGTGTTTATTTAAAATAAACAAATTCAAAATTAAAGCATAGGCATTAATAAATATAGGGTCCTCTATTTGTTACTATAGTCGTTCTATTTGTTACTGTAGTCTAGTTGTACTATTTGTTTTTTATTGGTTCTTTTATATAATAAATGACCTTCATATCTTTACACAGTATAAAATAAAGACATTGCCGCTGTCTGTACGCTTAGATCTGTTATATTACGAGCGAATTTTAATGCAGTTTTCAGCAATAGATAGAGCTATTCAAGAATAATATATGTATTTATGTGTATGAGTTATCTAGTACGCATAACACAAGCTTTAAATGAAATGAAATGAAATTTATTTGTTATAAAAGTAGTACATAATCGATGGTATGGTTATTTATATTATATAGTTCTCACTTCTCTATAGATCAGTCTTTACAGACATACAAATACATATTTGAATTAATCTATTATTATTCTTTATACAATTCAATTAAATTACATCTTATACATTTATTATTATTATAGAATGTAATAAAATTATTTTTATAAAACTGTTATATATTCATTAGGAATGTTAAAATTTCTAGCTAGCTTAACTTAGGTCTAGATGGCGCTGTGTGAATTATCCTGAGATTATTATTTTTATTATTAGTTATAAGGTCAATTTAGTATCCGAGATTCTAAAACAGGCTTTAATTTATAAGTATAGCAATAATTATTAAAAATTTTCAGTTTATAAAAACCCATTAATTTCGTACCACTGCTGTAATACAATAAACATGTTCAAACAAATAATTTGTTTTTGAAACTTGTGTAGGTGTATTGCCTACACAAGTTTCATATCAAGTTCATTTCAAGTATAAATATTTTCAAACCAATAATCCATTTTGCACCCTGTCCCCTGGTGTACCGACGCGAGTGTGACCCCGGGACCCCGGCGGCGCGGCGTAGCGTGCGCGTGAGTCCCTTGTTTTTCTTCTTGTGGTCCCGACTTCGTGTCCGTTGAATTTTTTTTTTTTCTTTAACGTTTTGTTTTAAAAAACAATACGTTCCGCTTTATAGAAATTAATTTATAACATATACCTACCAATTGGCATTTTTTTTTATTTAATACTAAATTGTATGTAAGTGTTTAAGTTCGCTCTATAATGTTCTAATTACAGCCTTTTGCACATCGTTTTACTTCTAATGGTCGTGGGTTCGATTTTGCAATCATTACATAGTATAAAATCGCGGTCGCTGTCTGTCCGTCACTATGTATGCTTAAATCTTTAAAACTACGCAACGGATTTTGAAGCGGTTTTTTAATAGTTAGAGTAATTCAAGAGGAAGGTTTATATATATAATACACGGGTGTACCGTGTATATTCATAAAATATTTGTATTCATGAGTATTACGGTAGTATCGGTCTGGTTGTTTTTTACATATATTATGTATGTATTTACGAATAAAATATCTAAGTATTTACATCAGTTGTCTAGTACCCATAACACTAGCTCTGCTTAGCTTGAGACTAGATGGCGTTGTGTGAATTATCTAGAAAAAAAATTACTGTGGCAAAATAAACAATACCACCGCTGTAGGAACAGACGGACCAAAATAAAATGGATTCCCATAACCTTAGGACCTTTAACTCACTTCATACAAAACTGATATCTTCACGCCCATAACTTGATATAAATGTAAAAGATATAAAATATAATATACCTACTAAAATACTACAATACATACAATCTTACTAACACCACAGATAACCTAATATTACATGTAACATTATAAATACGAAAGTTTGTGAATATGGATGGATGTTTCTTACACGCAAAAACTACTGAACTGATTTTCATGAAACTTTACAGTAATTTAACTTATATATCAGAATAATACATAGACTATAATTTAAAAATATATTATGTATATTTGGCAAAATATACTGATAAATGTAAAGTAAGTGTGACGATATAGGGGAAAGGGGATTGCTCGTAATGGCGATTAGGATCCCATTGCATCACGTCAGGTCGACCTCCACGCGGTTCCCCTGGAAACCAGTGGTTTCAGCACGATGGGCTAACTGAGCTGACTTCATTCTCATCTTATCATCCTCCACTGGTGCCCCGGCAGGCGTATACCGTTAGCGTAGACGGAAATAGAAATACTCTTAATATAAGCACTTTTGAATAGTCAAGTTTTTTTATTCTACCGCTCATTCGGAATGCAGACTCATCACAAGAAGAATGAGCAAGAAACTTGTGCAAATTGTGAAACGGATGCAACAATTAAAAAAATATATTATATAATATTTCTCTTACCTTTTATATACCTGATGTTCTTATCACAAATCACGTTTATTATTACAAATTCTTATCTCACATGCTTCGCTGACCGTTGTATCACTATTGAATAAATGAACTGGTATAGATACATTTGGAAGACTGGTACATCAACCTGCTGTCTGAATTAACTACATTACATTACATTGTCTATATCCTCTCTAACTATACTAGTTTATTACCTTGCATTGCTCTATATATCTTACTAATATTATAAACTCGAAAGTTTGTGACTTGGATGGATGTTTACTACTGTTTCACACAAAAGCTACTAAATGGATTTTAATGAAATTTTTCAGTATTATACTTTATACATCCTTTTAAATCATAGCCTATATGTTATTCTGATGTATAAGCTTCATTACTGTAAAGTTTCATCAAAATCGGTTCCGTAGTTTTTGCGTGAAAGAGTAACAAACATCAATCCATACTCACCAACTTTCCCATTTATAATAACTACCAGACTCGGCCACACGTTGCTGTGGCTAAGGTTTATGAATAAAATAATATTGCGACTATAAATTAAAATGTAAGCTATCCTATCTTTCAAGTTGGATTAAATTGCTGTAGTACGAGTACTGCTTGTAGGGACTGGTCTGCTCTTATCACTACGACTGATTTAATCTTATTGTATAATATTTATATTTGACCCAAAAAATTAGTGCTGGTTGGTAGTTTATATTCACACGTTTCGACTTGTAAATGTAAACTTACAAGGATTATTTAAAAGAGCAACACACACGTTTCTTGCTCGTTCTTCTCGTGAGACAGCTTTCCGAACGAGCGGTAGATAAAAAAAAATGTTATGACTATTCAAAAGTGTTTAAATTAAGTTTATTTAAATAAATGATTTTATATTCTATTCTATTCTATTGCACACGATGTGCAAATCAAATTTGCAATCAGTTAGTAGTTTAGGAGTCCATCGCGGACAAACAACGTGACACGTATTTTTATATATAAAGATAAGATATACATCTCTCGTCTATGGTCAGGTAATAATTTGTTATTCCCTGATAATTCTTTAGTACAATACACAGACATAAATACTAAAAATCTATTGTATTTATGGATTAACTTATGCAAATACGAAACGGGGCCGGTGGCGTGTCATTATTAGGAATTGCAATAAGGTGTAATATTCGATTTAGTAATAACCCTGTCTAAATATAGATAGACAGGCGGACACGTATGGTTAACTATATTTACATAATTATGTATAAAACACGTGTTACATTATTCTGGTATAAGGGTAAGCTTACACTTTAGTATAGAATAGAATAGAATAGAAAATCATTTATTCAAATAAACTTACATTGAAGCACTTTTGAATAGTCATAACATTTTTTTTTAATCTACCGCTCATTCGGAATGCTGTCTCATCACAAGAAGAACAAGCAAGAAACTTGTGTGTTGCTCTTTTAAATAATTTATTCTTACTTACAATTTAAGTTTAAGTGTGTGAATACAAACCACCGATTAGCACTAATTCAATGAAATAATAAAATAGAAAAAACATTAAATGTAAAACAACTGGTTAAACAATTAATAAGAGAAAATAAGTCATAATGATTAGAGCAGACCAGTCCACACAAGCAGCACCCGTTCACGAGTATGACGGATGAGCCAGCCACCATTGCGCTCGACCATATTTTAGGGAGCCCAATGACCCGGCCCACCACGCCGCCACAAGTCTGGACATTTTAGTGAGCATGACTACTCAAAACACCAGACCACGTCATAGCTACTCACAATTGCCATCTGATGGTTATAGTATTCACATTTCACATAAGAATGCATGCGGCAATCAATACAAAAA